CACCCTTTTTGAACTTGGCCACAGTAACTTCTTGCAAGATACATCCACGAAAGCAAAAGAAACAAAAGCAAAAATGAACTATTGGGACTTCATCAACATAAGAAGCTTTTGCACAGCAAAGGATACAGTCAACAAAACTAAAAGACAACCTACAGAATGGGAGAAGATATTTGCAAATGACATATCAGATAAAGGGCTAGTTTCCAAAATCTATAAAGATCTTATTAAACTCAACAGCAAAGAAACAAACAATCCAATAATGAAATGGGCAAAGGACATGAAGAGAAATCTCACAGAGGAAGACATAGACATGGCCAACATGCACATGAGAAAATGGTCTGCATCACTTGCCATCAGGGAAATACAAATCAAAACCACAATGAGATACCACCTCACACCAGTGAGAATGGGGAAAATTCACAAGGCAGGAAACAACAAATGTTGGAGAGGATGCGGAGAAAAGGAACCCTCTTACACTGTTGGTGGGAATGTGAACTGGTGAAGCCACTCTGGAAAACTGTGTGGAGGTTCCTCAAAGAGTTAAAAATAGACCTGCCCTATGACCCAGCAATTGCACTGTTAGGGATTTACCCCAAAGATACAGATGCAATGAAACCCCTGGACACCTGCACCCCGATGTTTCTAGCAGCCATGTCCACAATAGCCAAACTGTGGAAGGAGCCTAGGTGTCCACTGAAAGATGAATGGATAAAGAAGACGTGGTTTATGTATACAATGGAATATTGCTCAGCCATTAGAAACGACAAATACCCACCATTTGCTTCAACGTGGATGGAACTGGAGGGTATTTTGCTGAGTGAAGTAAGTCAATCGGAGAAAGACAAACAGTGTATGTTCTCATTCATTTGGGGAATATGAATAATAGTGAAAGGGAGTATAAGGGACGGGAGAAGAAATGTGTGGGAAATATCAGAAAGGGAGACAGAACATAAACACTCCTAACTCTGGGAAAGGAACTAGGGGTGGTGGAGGGGGAGGAGGTCTGGGGGGTGGGTGTGAATGGGTTACGGGCATTGAGGGGAACACTTGACGGGATGAGCACTGGGTGTTATTCTGTATGTTGGTAAATTGAACACCAATAAAAATTATTTTATTAAGAAAAATAAAAAATAAAAAAAATAAAATAAAATAAAACAAAAAACTTTTGCTCTTGACAGTAGTGATTTCATGAAGGAAATGTCCTATAGTGCCCTGTAGTGCAGTGTCCCCTGTTCACCAGAACCTGGCACTTCAGGGGATTCTCCTATATGTGTTCTACATCCTGCTATTGTTTCCGAGTTGCTTACCCTTTCAGTCCAGACATCTGTACCGACTCTGCCTATTTTGAGCTGTGGTTATTCTTTTTGGTGTTAGTGAGACCCATGTAGGCTGGCTCTGAGGACACATGTCCATAGAAGGGCTCAGGAATAGGGCTGTGGTGTTAGTAAAATTTGCACTGAGTCACTAGTTCTTGACCAGATCCCCTGAAGTTTGGTGGTGGCCCGGTGCATAGTATGCATTAGTGGCAGTGACCAGGGGCAAGGATCTCTGCTGTGCATGGTACATGACATCTGTGTTTGCAGAGGCAGGCATGAAGCACCATGGTGGCTGGAGGCATGTGGTGGCTGGGTAGTATGTTTGGGGCCTTAAGGAAATTTGCCCTGAGCCACTAGTCCTAAGCAGGATTCCCTGAAGTGTGGTAGCCATGTGGGCATGGCATGTGGAGGCAGTGGTTGGGTGGGATGTGCATGGCCTTAACGAAATTTGCACTAAGCCCAGGGCAAAAGCCAGCAGGCCTGGGGTGTGTGAGTCCTCAGGAGAACTTGTGGGTGGGGTGCACTACTAGCAGATTAGATAGCAAGTGTCTGTGCCCTACTGCCTCACACAGGTGGCCTTGTGTTTATGCTGGGGCAGGGGGCAGGGGAAGAAAATGGCACCTGTCAGTTCCTTTGTTCCCAGAGAAATTCCCAACATGTTCTGAAATCAGTATAAACAGTTCTCCCTCCTGTTGTGCAAACTGTCTATGTTGTCTCTCTGCAGGTTGTTGTCTCTTTAAGGCTGGAGACCTGGCTATCACTCACCCTCCTATCTCTCTCAGTGCTGAGTCAGCTGACCTTTAGAGCTCCAGCCTCCAAGTCCTGTTGATTATACAAACTCAGGGTACTCAGTCCCTTTGGTTTTCAAGTCCAGATGTTATTGAGATTTAGTTACCTTGTATGGGTCCCTGGTGCTTTCCCTCCTCTGTGAATGCAGCCTCCCTCCCTCCAGCAAGCAGCTCCCAACCACATTTTCTTTTCTTCCAACCTCTTCTATCTGGCTTTTTCTCTACATTTAGTTGTGGAGTTTGTTCTGCCAGTCTTTGTATCACTCTCTAGTTATTTTACTGGGATATGAGTGATATATATTTGTGGATGTGGGACAAGGTGAGCTTAGGGTCCTCCTACTCTACTGTCTTCCCAAGGCTCTCTGAAATTAATTTTATCAACATATTTTATTAAACTTAATTATCCAAAATATAATCAATACAAAACATTTACTAATATGATATCTTCTATTCTTTCTTTCATACTACATCTTTGAAACCCAGAACGCATTCTAGAGATACAGTTCATTTCAAATTGGATGCTAAATTTTCATTGGTAATAATGATTTATATTTAGTTAGGTTTCTTAAAACTTAACCCCAAATGTTGGAATGATTTGACAAAGATTTCAAAGCAGTCATGAAATACTTCAAAAATCAATTATAAATTTTCTTGAAATAAGTGAAAGATTAGAAAATCTCAGCAAAGAGATGTTATAAAAAATAACCAAACAAAGTATAGAGCTGTAAAATAGAATAATAGAATTAAAAAAAATTCTAAATGGGTTCGAGAATGGAGTGGAGATGACAGGAATAGAATCAGTAAGTTTGAGCTCAGGTCAATAGAATTTCTCCAATCTGAACAATAGAAAGACAATAGACTAAAAAAGTAAAAATAAACAGAGTCTCAAGGACTTGTGGGAAAATAACAAGAACTAACATCTGTAGTATCAGGGTTGTAGAAGGACAAGAGAGATAAAGAGAGGAATATAAAAGAATACAAAGAAATATGACTGAAACATTTCAAATATGGTGAAAAACATAAGCCTAAAAATTCAAGAATCTGACAAAATTAAAAAATGGTAAGTCAAAGACAACTACCTAAAAACATAACATAATTAATTTTCTGAAAACAAAAGGCAAAGCAAAAATCATGAAAACATCCAGAGATAAAGAATGAATTACCTGTAGAGTTGCATCAAATACAATAAGAGAAGATTTTTCATCTAACACCATGAAGTCCAAATGGAAGTGGCACATATATTTCAAGAGCTGAAAGAAAAAACTGTCCACTTTGGATTCTATATCTTGTGAAAATATTCTTCAGAAATGAAGGTATAAATAAATCGTTCTTAGACTAAGGAAAACTAAAGAATTGATCTCTAGAAGACCTCTACCTAAGGTCAGTAAAAGAAGTTCTTCCAACAGAAAGGAAATGATACAAGAAAGAATATGGAGACAGAGGAAAAAAGAAAGAGCTGAAAGATAATAAAGTATTTCTTCCATCATGAGCTGTATAAATTGTAGTGATATTTAGATACCACTATGTAAAATGATAAGTAATTTGCATATAATTATATATAAATGATAATTGAAAGTATTATAACAGCATTTGTTAAGTTAATGATATTTTCAAATGAGGAAGGTAAAGCAACCTAAGTGGAAGTAAGATTTCCACATTTTACTTCATGTGGCCAAGGGGCTATGAAAAGTCACATAAGTATATTTAAATCTCAGCATAATCACTACAGAAATTATACAAAGAAATACACTAAAAGTTATTACAAATAAGTCAAGATGGAATCCTAAGAATATTCAAGTAACACACAGGAAAGGAAGAAGAAACAGAAAAAAGAGAATCAGATGAAACAGAGAATATAATAAAATTGCAGAATTAAGCTCTAACATATTTATAGCACTAGATGCTTACATTAGAAATAAGGGAAGGTCTCAAATCAATAACATAAGTTCCTACATCAAGGAAATAGAAAAAGAAGAGTAAAATAAATCCACAGCAAGCAGATGAAGGAGATACTAAAGATAAGAGCAAGAAAAAAAGAGCAATAATCAATGAAATTGCAAAATGGAAAACTATGAGAAAAAATCAACAAAACAAAGACATGCTCTTCCAAAAAGAAATAAAATTGATAAACTTCTGGTAAAACAGACAAAGATAGGTAGAAGACATCATCACTACCAAAATTGAGGCAAGGAATATTACTAAGGACTTAGTCATTAAACTGACAAGGGAATACTATGAGCACCTTAGAAGAATTGGGCCATTCCTCAAAAACAATAAACTAATAAAAACTACTACTTAACCAAGATGAATTAAACAAATTGAATAGTCCTATAACCATTAAAGAAATTTAGTTTATAATTTCAATACTCCCTCCCTCCTGGAAAGAAATCTTTAGGCCCAGATGGCTTGCTGGATAATTCTACCAAACACTGAATAAATTCACACTTTTGCAAATTTGCTTCCAGAAAATAGATAGGAGGCAAACGTTCCTCAAATACTTTCATGAAGTCAGTGTTATTCTCATACCAAAGCTAGATAAACATAACCGCCAAGTGAAAACTATTGACTATTTCTCATGAAATCAAATTTAAAAATATTCAGGAAAATATTTGCTAACTGAATCCAATAGTATATAAAAAGAGTCATGCACTATCACAAATGGAATTTATTCCCAGTATCCAAAGTTACTTTCAGATTATTTGAAAATCAATTAATGTATTCTACCATATCAACAAATTAAGGAAAATCTTCATATAATCATATCAATTGATGCAAAGAAAAGGCATTCGACAAAATCTTATATCCTTTCATGATATAAACAATCAACAAACTAGATTAGAAGAAAATACCCTGATTGGCAACTATGAAAAAAACAAAAGCTGAGGAATGTCAACTATTCAACATGGAGGCGGAGGTCGATAAACTGGAACTGATGTTCCAGAAAGCTGACTCTGATCCGGATTACATTCAATACAGGCTGGGATATGAAATCAAGACTAATCATCCTGATACAGCAAGCAAGAAAAATCCAGTTACACTCTTAAAGGAATTGTCAGCAATAAAGTCTGGATATCAAACTTTGCATGCACGCTTTAAACCAATAGCTGCAGAGCAGAAAGAAACTAAGAACCGCATTTGTGCTGCTGTCAATAAGACTATGACCATCATACAAGAACTACAAAAGCAGGGGTCCCTGGGTGGTGCAGTGGTTTGGCGCCTGCCTTTGGCCCAGGGCGCGATTCTGGAGACCCGGGATCGAATCCCACATCGGGCTCCCGGTGCATGGAGCCTGCTTCTTCCTCTGCCTGTGTCTCTGCCTCTCTCTCTCTCTCTCTCTCTCTCTCTCTCTCTGACTATCATAAATAAATAAAAATTAAAAAAAAGAACTACAAAAGCAAACAGACCTGGAGCTGTCACCACTGACTAAAGAAGAAAAAGCTGCAACAGAGCAATTAAAATCTTTCATGTCAGACTTATGAAGAAATTGACTTCAAATGGGAATTCCAGTGGAGAAGAGATTAATTCCAGAAAGATTTAAGAAGATGTCTTGTTATCACTTGATTGGGGGATGGTGAAGAAGATTTGTCTGGGGTGATTGGATAATGATGCCTTTCATAAGAGAGGGACTATCACAAGGGCAGATAATATATGAATAAAGTTTAGCCAAAAGGATGGAATGGGAATAAAGGGATTTAAAAATATATATGCACACAAACTTAATCTTATAATTTCAGGCAAGGAAGTCACTTAACACTGTTTTGCATCTGTTTTTGTGTAATTGGGATAACACTGATGTCCTGGCCTATCATGAAAGGATATTTATGTACTATCAGTCAGTCAGATGTGAATTAACATGCTTTGGAAATTAAAGGATAGAAAAAAAAAAACAAAAGCTAGCATCACACTTGTTGCTTAAGATCAAGAACAAGATAACGGTGTTCATTTTCACTGCTTCTGTGCATTATTGGATTGGAAGTTATGGCCAAAGCAATCAGGCAAGAAAAGGAAGTAAAAGGCATTCATATTGTACAGGAAGAAGTAAAACCATATCTATTCACAGAGAGCATGATCTTATACGTAGAAAATCATAAAGATTCTGCAGAAACTATTACAGCAAATAAATGAATCCATCAAAGTTGCAGGACACTAGGTATACACATGAGAACAATAAACTATATAAAAGGGAAAGTCTTAAATATAACTAACTGTCTTTATTAGGAAATAATCGTGTACATAATAAATCTTAAGGAATCTACAAATAGCTCCTAAAACTGAGTTAATTTAGCAAGGTGATAAGATACAACAAAGTCAATAACCAAAATTTAAATATATTTCCATATACTAGCAATAAACATTAGAAAACAAAATTTCAAACAACTTCACTTATAAAAACGTCAAAGAATTAAATATAGTAGTTGAGTTTGTATTATAAAAGATTTTCTTGGTTGCCTTTTGTTAGATATGCTTAGCTATCTTCTGGTGAATCTTTTACTTCTCCATACATTAAAATATATTTATTTTTCTCTTTGGACTTTTTTTTGAAATATTTAGGATGAACTAAATTTACTGTTTTTGAAATGTTAGCAGTTAGCTATTTACAATCTTAGTGCAAACATGAAAATAATTTTTTAAAATTTTTATTGGTGTTCAATTTGCCACATATAGAATAACACCCAGAGCTCATTCCATCAAGTGCCCCCCTCAGTGCCCATCACCCAGTCACCCTCACCCCCCGACCACCTCCCTTTCTACCACCCCTTGTTCATTTCCCAGAGTTAGGAGTCTCTCATGTTCTGACTCCATTTCTGATATTTACCACTCATTTTTTTCTCCTTTCCCCTTTATTACCTTTCACTTTTTTTATATTCCCCAAATGAATGAAATCGTATAATGTTTGTCCTTCTCCGATTGACTTACTTCACTCAGCATAATACCCTCCGGTTCCATCCACGTTGAAGCAAATGGTGGGTATTTGCTGTTTCTAATGGCTGAGTAATATTCCATTGTATACATATACCACATCTTCTTTATCCATTCATCTTTCGATGGACACCGAGGCTCCTTCCACAATTTGGCTATTGTGGACATTGCTGCTATAAACATCAGGATGCAGGTGTCCCGGCGTTTCACCGCATCTGTATCTTTGGGGTAAATCCCCAGCAGTGCAATTGCTGGGTCATAGGGCAGGTCTATGTTTAACTCTTCGAGAAACCTCCACACAGGTTTCCAGAGTGGCTGCACCAGTTCACATTCCCACCCACAGTGCAAGAGGGTTCCCCTTTCTCCACATCCTCTCCAACATTTGTTGTTTCCTGCCTTGTGAATTTTCCCCATTCTCACTGGTGTGAGGTGGTATCTCATTGTGGTTTTGATTTGTATTTCCCTGATGGCAAGTGATGCAGAGCATTTTCTAATGTGCTTCTTGGCCATGTCTATGTCAGAAGAATGAAACTAGACCACTCTCTTTCACCATACACAAAGATAAACTCAAAATGGATGAAAGATCTAAATGTGAGACAAGATTCCATCAAAATCCTAGAGGAGAACACAGGCAACACCCTTTTTGAACTTGGCCACAGTAACTTCTTGCAAGGTACATCCTTGAAGGCAAGAGAAACAAAAGCAAAAATGAACTATTGGGACTCCATCAAGATAAGAAGCTTTTGCACAGCAAAAGAAACAGTCAACAAAACTAAAAGACAACCTACATAATGGGAGAAGATATTTGCAAATGACATATCAGATAAAGGGCTAGTATCCAAGATCTGTAAATAACTTATTAAACTCAACAGCAAAGAAGCAAACAATCCAATCATGAAATGGGCAAAAGACATGAACTGAAAATAATTTTTAAATGTCTTTTGGCCTATATTCCTCTCCCCCCTTCTCTCTCTGTGTTATGGAATGAGAAATACTTATCTTTATTGTTTATATTAAGCGCCTGGCACAAGTGGGTTTTTAGCCAATTGTTATTAAATGGTTACGCAATCAATATTATGCTCGGTGGCCAATAAAGCTCAGGTGTAAAGCTTTGGAATTTGCTCATTGAGAAATTAAAAACCTAGGGACGCCTGGGTGGCTCAGCAGTTGAACATCTGCTTTCAGCCCAGGGTGTGATCCTGGAGTCCTGGGATCAAGTTCCACATTGGGCTCCCTGCATGGAGTCTGCTTCTCTCTCTGCTTATATCTCTGCCTCTGTGTGTGTGTGTGTCTCTCATGAATAAATACATAAAATTAAAAAAATTAAAACCTAGAATTTCAGGTAACATAGATATAAAAAAGGAAGTTAAAAGAATTCCATTTACAATGGCATCAGTAGTAATGAAATTCTTAGGGATATATTTGACAAAAGATGTGCAAGATTTATACACATAAATCTATAATATATCACTGAATGAAATTAAAGACTGAAATAAAAAAAAGACTGAAATAAATAAAAAGGCAATCTGTGTTATGGAATGACGGACTTAACATTGTTAAGAGTGATACCCTCCACATTGATCTACATATTCAACACAATCTCTATGAAACACTTGGCTTCCATTTTTTTCAGAAATTGACAATCTAATCTCAAAATGTATACTGAACTGCAAGGGATCCAAAATAATCTTGAAAAAGAAGAGCAATGTTGGAAGAATCACACTCCCAATTCGAGACTTAGTACAAATATGTAGTAATTAAAACAGCTTGATATTGGCATAAAGATAGATCAATAGCATGAAATTGAGAGTTCATACAAAAAACCTATATATTTATGGTCCATTGATTTTTAACATGGGAAATAAGACGATTCAGTTGAGAAAAGTGTGTTCAACACATGTTTCTAGGAAACTGGATATTCAGGTACAAAAAATTAAATGAGTTGGACCTCCATCTCACACCATACACAAAAATTAACTCAAAATGGATCAAAGACCTAAATGTAAGAACTAAAACTATAGGAGCACCTGAGTGGCTCAGTGGTTGAACATCTCTTTGGTTCAGGTTGTGATCCTGGCGTCCTGGGATCAAGTCCCACATTGGGGTCCCCAGAGGGAGCCTGCTCCCTCTGCCTGTGTCTCTGCCTCTCTCTGTGTGTCTCTCATGAATAAATAAAATCTTAAAAAAGGAACTAAAACTATCAAATTCTTAAAAGAAATAACCGGGAAAAGCTTAATAGCACTAGATTTGCAATGATTTCTTGGATATGACACCAAAAGCGTAAGAAAAAAATGGTAAATTGGATTTCATCAAACTTGAAAACTTCTGTAGTACATGTGACACCAGTAATAAAATGAAAAGATTACCCATCGAATTGTAGAAAATATTTGCTAATCACATATCTGTTAAATGACTTGAAACCAGAATATATAAAGGATTTTTCCACTTTGGGATATTATGAATAATGTTGAACATTTGTGCACACATCTTTGTGTGTATATGTTTTGACTGCTCTTGGGTATGTACTTAAGAGTGGAATTACTGGGGCATGTGGTGACTCTATGCTTAACATTTTAGGATTTTTCAAACTGTTTTCTAAAGGAGCTGCACCAATTTACATTCCCACCAACAATGTATGAGGGTTTCAATTTCTCCATGTTATGGAAAATACTTACTGGGCTTTTTAAAAATAACAGTCATCCTAGTTTGTGTGTAAAGTAGTATTTCATTAGAGTTTTGATTTACATTTCCCTAATGTCTAATCACCACGTCATGCTACAAAATAGATTAACCTGAAAAACATTTTGCTAATTGAAAAGATCCAATCACAAAAGACCACATATTGTATAATTCCTTTTATATATACTGTCCAGAATAGGCAAGTGTATGGAGACAGATAGCATATTAATGGTTGCCTAAGGTTGTGAAAGGGTGGAAGGGTAATGGCGAGTGACTATTAAAGGGTGTGAGGTTTCTTTGGGGGGGGTGATAAAATGTTCTGTAATTTGTTTATGGTGATATTTGCACAATATCTAAATATAGTAAGAGCCACTGAATTGTACACTTTAAAGTGGTAAACTTTATGGTATGCAAAGTAGAAGATGATATGAGTCTGGAACTCAGAATAGTGGTTTAGAGTAGAAATAGTTATTTGGGTGTTGTCAGTGGATACATAGATGACATAAAAATGTATGAGAATAGGTGCTATCACTTGAGGAGAAATTGTAGATAAAGAGGTATAAGATACTAGAACTGAGCCCTGAGATACTACAACATTTAGAGATCAGAGAGATGAGAAGAAACCAGAAGAAACAGGAAGAAATGAGACCAGTTAGCAGAATTGTATATACCACACATCAGAAGAGAATGGTATCCCAGAAGCCAAGAGAAGAAACTGCTTCAAGGAGAGAGTGATCAATTTTGCTAAACATTACTGATACATTAAATAAAAGAGGACTGGGAAGAATTGGCATTGTATTTAACCTTGTAGAGGACATTGATGACCTTGAGAAGAGCTTTTTAGCTCTTTGAATACAGTGGTGGGGATGAAAATTTGATTGGAATTAATACAAAACTGATCTGGGTAAGAGTAACTCTTACTCAATAAAATCAATTTGATATGTGGGTGGATAGGAGGGTAGTTGTTTTTATTTTCTCAGTGAACTGTGACTAGAGGTCATTAGGTGGGAATGAGAATGAGAATGAGAGAGGCGATTTTGGAGAATTAAGGACAGAAGAAAAAGTATGAATTTTTAACCTTCCTAGATGTGAGTGGGCTAAGGGAA